AGGAGGCAAGCTTGCAGAATGTGCTCTTTGGTTGTTTAAATGATTATGTGCTTTTGTGTACATTAAAAAAAACACAAAATAAAAAAACATAGGGAATATAAGCAAATACTGATGCATGGAGGGGATTGTAATCATTGCAATGGTATAAAATATGATAGGATGAGTGTAAAAGTGATGTTCTCCCATAGAAACTACCACTCAATTCACAATAAAAACTTAAAAACAGACAAATGTGCAGCCTTTCAATAACGTGAAAACCCAGGCAATTCACGTTGTCTGGGCTTGGCCTCCCAGGTATGGTTTAAGGGCAATCTACTCCATTGTTTCCTCTGTGTAATTGTTTGGAGGCTCTTGTATTTATGGTGGTGGTATGCCGTGGAGTTGGTTCTGACTCTGAATACGGTTTCCAAGACTAAATCTTTATAGTTGCAGAAAGCCTCATCTTTCTCCCGTGGAACAGCTGGTACTTCAAACTGCTGACCTGCGGTTAGGAGCCCAACTCCTAGCCCACTATGCTGCTAGGCCTCCCTTGTTGTTGTTAAGTGCCGTTGAGTTGGTTCCGACTCATAGTAATCCTGTATAGGGTTTCTGAAGAGTGGATGGTGAGTTTGAATCTTCCACCTCGCAGTTCAAATGACCTTGCAGTCCAGTGCTTATCCTACAGTGCCACACCAGAGAGTACCATTTATACTCTCTGGAGAAAATAAGCCAAAATGGCTTCTGAGTTTTGAGAAGGCACAAGTGTGCAGAGTAAACCCTGCCCCCTTCCCCATTAAGTTCTAGAATGCTTGAAGTGAGGCAGGAGGATGAAAGATGGAGTCTATAGGGAAGACCCACTCATATGTAAAAAATATTTAAAATGACAAATAAGTTGTTAAGTAAAATATGTTCTATCTTACTTTGACCAATTTACCTTCATAACCACTTGGAATGACAGGTTTGAATTAGAATCCCAACTCCTTGGAGATCTGTTAACACAAGGACCTGCAGCCTGGGGAGAACTGACCTAACCTTTGGCTTCTAGACACAGTCTGCACCTTTTCTCTTTCTGCAACTGAACCATGAACTCAGACATGTGGACCCCTGAGCTTGCATATCTAAAGTCTGTCTATATTTCCAGCACTGGACAGAAAATTTCAAAAGGTAGCTTGAAAAGACCTAGTGTTAGAAATCAAAAGGGAAGAATACATTCAGCATGTCTCAAGCTGAAAGAATGAAAGAAAAGTTCAAGCCACGGATTGCAATGTGGAAGGATTCTATAGGTAAAATTAGGAGAAAGATGAGGCGTTCTGCTCCTGTAAAGATTTACAGCCTTGGAAACCCTGTGCAGGGTCACTGTGAGTTGGAACCAACTTCACGGTACTTAACAACAACAACAACATAGGTAAAATATTGAATGATACAGGAAGCATAAAAAAAAGATGAAATACACAGAGTCACTGTACCAAAAAGAAATGGTCAATGCTTAGGCATGTCAAGAGGTAGCATATGATCAGGAACTGATAGTACAGAAAGAAGTCCAAGATGCACTGAAGACATTGGCAAAAAACAAGGCTCCAGGAATTGATGCAATACAAATTGAAATCTTTCGACAAACTGATAGAACACTTATCTATGCCAAGAATTTTGGAAGACAGCCACCTGGCTAACTGATTGGAAGAGATCCATATTTGTGCCCATTCTGAAGAGAGGTGACCCAGTGGAATACATAAATCATCAAACAGTCTCATTAATATCACATGCAAGCAAAATGTTGCTTAAGATAATTAAAAAATGGCTGCAGCAGTACATCAACAGGGAATTGCCAGATTTCAAGTCAGAAGAGGACATGAATTGAGGTATATCACTGCTCACATCAGCTAGATCTTGACTGGAAACAGAGAGTATCAGAAAGATGTTTACTGGTGCTTTATTGATTATGCAAAGGCTTTCAACTGCTTGGACCATGAAAAACTATGGAAAATGTTGGGAAGAATGGGTTTTCCAGAACACTTAACTGTGCTCATGAAAAACCTATACATAGACCAAGAAGCAGTTGCTAGAATAGAACAAGGGGATAATGAATGGATTTAAATCAGAAAAGAGGTTCCCCAGAATTTCATCATACTTATTCAATCTGTATACTGAGTGTGGTATCCAGGATGGGGATGTTGAGTTCACCAGAGAAAATTAGGACCTCAAAGTGGGATGATGATTTCTTTGTGTTTGACACTATATGCATGCAGGCTGGGGAAGTACTCAATTCCTTAGAGGAATGGAAGAGAAGCTGTGAAGAAGGCCAAGAGGAGAAGAGAACCCAGAAAGACTTCAGAAAAAGCCACCAAAGAGAGCAAAGGAGAACCCAGATAAACAAACTATTGTGGCTGAAGCGAAAGGAGTGGCCCAGGGTTAAATGTGCTGTTGAGAAAGTGGGTAATGGGCTTGAGGTGTCTGCTGGATGGGAAATTGGTGGTGGTGTGCCATGGAGTCGGTTCTGCCTCATAATGACCCTGCATAGGGTTTCTGAGGCTGTATATCTTTATGGGAGTAGAAAGCCTCATCTTTTTCCCGAGGAACAGCTGGTAGTTTCAAACTGCTGACCGTGGGGTTAGTAGCCCAACTTGTAACCACTATGCTACCAGAGAAATTAGGATGACAATTATCAGCAGGGAGGGTGTACCCACCCAAGGCCATGGGGGTGTACAGCAGAGGCAGTGAGGATGCTGAGAAATGAATCTTTCAAGTGAAATGAAGATGTGAAATGCCAGTGAGCAAAGAATGAGAGGTGGGCTTCATAAAGCTTAAAGACAGAACTTTTAGGGTGGAAAATACTTGAATATATGATCATTCTCATCTAGACTGGCTACAAACTTTGGTGCACAATGAAAACTTAATGCTAAGAAAATATTAAGAATTTTCTAATGGCAACAGCAGAGCATTAAACCAGCATGGTGCTCTTATACATGTTACTGTAGAGGGGTGTAGAGGCCAGGAAGCTGGAAGGGAGGAAGAGCTGGCTGGGTCAGCGACAGAGCTCAGTCTCAGAGCAAGTGACAAGGGAGGGAGTTAGGCTTCATGTGCAAAAATAGGATTTTGTTCATCTCCTGAGATGAAAGATGGTGCTGGGATGGAGAGGAGGGGTGTCAGAAGTCAAGTTCATGCTGGAGAAAGGATTCCCTTTGTTAAAGAATCTGGGTGGAGAAGAGTAGCAGAAGTTTGAGCAACAAGAGAGGACTGGGAGGTCACATTCAGTAGTGTTGAGAGAGCTGAGTGGTCCCATGGCCTGCAGGGACTCACAGGATTGCAGATCAGACTTAGGGAGAGGTGGGTGACAGCCTGGGACCAAGTTGGGAGGTGGTGGGAAATGGGGTGGCCAGAAGGACTGGAGGAATTTCTCAGTGACAAGGTCACTGAGGGTGAAAGCAGAAGGTAGGAGATGTGGGTGTCAGAGGACTAGACTGCAGATTGTTCAGACCATTAGAAGCCAGTGTAGCGGTGCAGGGAAGATCTGGAGAAGTCATTAAAAAAATTAAGTGGCAAAAATAAGGAAAGCTGAAAGATCTGCTGGAATGAGCATTGTTGTTGTGAAGTGCTGTCGAGTCGATTCCGACCCATAGTGACCTTGTACAGGGTTTCCGAGGTGCAGCTTGTGAGCTTGAACCACCGACCTTGCAGTTAAAAGTGTCACTAAACTGTTTTAAGACCGCAAATAAATCTGCTTGTATGGCAGGGGAAAGGGCAAAAAGGTGGTGGGTCAATCAAAAAAGTTGCTGGTTCCAGCCCAACCACGGACCCTGCTGGGAGGTGCTCCTGTAGAGATTACAGTCTCTAGGGCAGTTGTACTCTCACGTAGGATCACTGTGAATAAAAAATCGACTCTACTGACCCCTTACAGCAACACAGTCAGGAAAAACTCCGTGGAGAGGGAGAGGTTAAAGATGTGGGTGCAGCGGCTAAGTAAGTATAGGGCAGGTTTCTCAATGGACACTAGAGAAAAGGGAGAGAGGTAGGCTACAAAGCCGTGGTGTAAAGATTCTCGTGTTGAGAGTGCGACCTATACGAGGTATGAGGAGTCCGGGATGCTGATGCAATGCGCAGGACCACTAGTTGTTGCAAACAAACGACGGAGGTCGCCCTTGAGCAGCGTGGAGAGCGGTGGGAAGCAGCACCGAGGCCAGCTGGCTGCAGACCTTCCCGCTAAGACCGCTGGTTATGAGCTGGGGACTCTGGCTGAGCACCGCCCTTCTGCAATTCGGTGACCTTACCAGAAGCGTTCTCAGACTCCCCACATCTCTAGTCCGGGCTTTCGGAGACCGAACTTAAAATTAGACTTTTGCTAAGTCTGGAAAGAGAGAATGTAGAGGTTCAATCAGCACCCACTAGGCGCCCCAGGGACAAATCCGGTGCTGGGGACCTGAAGCAGCCCTGAGGCCTCTTGGGCTTGTCTTTTGAGAGTTGCCTGGCTCCTCTCTTATCTGGTCGTTGCCACCACCCTGCTCGTACCGGAGTCTGGCTCCCTTGCTTCCAGGTGCCTAGGTTTTCCGAAACCGGGCTGCTGAGGTTCTGCTGCCGCCGCTTTCGCCTGGGGCTTTCTACGGCGGTTAAGTCCTTTTCCGGGTGGGAAACAATCAGGAGGGACGGGACTGCCCTCCCTTATCCCGTGCTCCAAGGGGCGCACGGGCAGCCGGCGTCCTCCCGGCCAAGGCTTGGCACACTGTGCGATCGCCGATTGAACGTTCACTGCTTTCCCTTCCCCCGACCGGGACCTGGCTGTCAGGGCAGGGAAGTCGACTGTTTGGGGGGGCGGACGAGGGGCGGAGCCGAAGCGGGAGGGAAGGAGGGAGTCCCGCCCCACCCCGCCCCCCGTGGCCTGAGTCGGGGCTGCAGCCCGCGCGCCCAAGCCTTCGAGCCCACGAGCCAGAGAGCAGCGGCCGCGGCCTCCCCTTCGCTCAGAGACCCCGGCACTCCGGCCCGCGGCCCCGCTAACCCCGGGGCCCGAGCCCCCGCGGCAGGCATGCATCATGGCCACGTTGGCTTGCCGGGTACAGTTCTTGGACGACACGGATCCTTTCAACAGCACCAACTTCCCCGAGCCCAGCCGGCCGCCGCTGTTCACGTTCCGGGAGGACCTCGCGCTAGGCACCCAGCTGGCCGGGGTCCACCGGCTGCTGCGGGCTCCGCACAAGGTACGGCCGGAGGGGCGGGCAGGGCCCCTGCCCGCAGACCCTGCTGCGGTGGGCGCCGAGGTGGGAGCATTGCGGGCGCGCTGGACTGGATGCAGCCCCGGGAGACAAGTATCCGCCACAGATCCCCTCTCCCCGCTAGGTGAAAGGGTCCGGAGCACCCACTCGCTGGCGTGGGACCCTACAGGCGTGCAGGGAAGGCAACCCCACGCTCCGGTCCAGAACCGGGGGCGGGCGCCACCAAGCAGGTGCCGCGCTGACCGGAGGCGGGATGGAAAAGGTTCCCGGGTGCCGTGCCGTTAGCCTGGCCGGGTGGGCGGGGTAGGAATCCGACGCCGGTAGCCGGCTCTGCAGGGGGCCTGGGCGGGCGCCTAGCAGCGCGCGGAAAGAACCCGCTTCCCGGGAGACTAAGGTCCTTTGGAGGAGACCCCCGAGCGGGGCCCCAGACAAAACCTCTCTCAGGCCTCTGGGGCCGCTGTGGGCGGCCGCGCAACCCTGGCGACAAAGCACGCTTTCCTGAGACACCTCCCTTCCCTCCCCAGGGGGCGGGAGGGGGGTGAGCACTGCCGTGGACGTCTGCTGCGCGCTGCGATGATCCATAGAGTAGCCCCTTTTTCTTGTAAGGAGAAGCAGGTGGCCTTGGGAACCTTGGAGGAACGGTCGTTGTGGGAGGAGGGGGGGCCGGGGCGCGGAGGGGCGGCGTGCGCACAAAGCCTGCTCCTAGCAGCCCGAAATGAGAGTCCCCGGGGAAGAATGCTTCTTAGTCCAGCAAATTGAGAGGTTGACTTCTTTTTCTTCTTCTTCATCTTTTCTTAACCCTTTTCAGGAGGACAGGCATCTTGCAAAGTGTTTGTTGCAAAGAGCTGGGCATTGCAGCTTAATCATTTCGTTACTCTGGAGAGCCCTCCTCCTTCCAACTGAAACAGATCGACTGTACCTTGAAAGATTACCTCCCTGGTGCGCTTTCTGTTGAGGGTGCATACCAAAGCTTTGAGGTGATTTATTCCTCGAGGATCACCATTGACAAATATTTGGAAAAGATAACCCTTGATGTCTAGAAGAACAAAAATTGATTTTAAAAAATGCTTCAGATTTCTGTAAGATCTGCCTTAGAAGTAGAGGGAGAGGTTGTGTGTGGAAGGCGTGGACTTTGGTAGTTGTACTTTTCATTATATGAGTGTATCAGAGCTCCCTTTTTCTACTTAATTGGTAACTCATCCAAAGGAAGGAGGTATGGGGAGTTTCATCTCATTCTCTCTTTTGTGTTGAAACAGAATGGAATTGTAAGGAGAAGCACTTTGGCTGTAAAAGCATGCATGGAGAGACAGAATGATGTATTACGAATTCTGCCTGTCAGACCACTTTTATAAATTATTAGGTTCTTCTCAACTGGTAGATTCATTTAGACATTTTTGAAGGGCATCTTCCACATCATTCCATTCATTATGGTCTCTGTTTATAGTGATCTTTTGTTGAGACCACAGAAGACTTATAATTGTGTCTCAGTGACTTTGGAGAGGTTTATTTGGATTTCAGACCTTATAGACATGGGTGAATCTTTCAAGCTGGGAGCTAAAGTTGATTTTATATTCCCATAGCCTAGTGGTCTTTATGGAGTGTTCTAGTTGGCTGGGAGGAAGGCCTGATTCTTCAGCACTGGCCTGTCCCTAGCCCCAGCTAGAAGCCACAGCACAGCAGTTGTTGCACCGGCTCACTGATATTTCTGAGATGTCCCCTGTGGCAGAAACAGAATAAGAAGAGGTCTCATAGAGATCCTTGATCCCTATCTCTGGTGACCAGCCACCCTTAGTCACCGAGTCTTATGCCCACAGACGCCTGCAGTAAGACTTGGATGTTTGGTATTGGGTTCTCACATCTAGAACTGAGTGAGTGGTTGATTCTATGAATGAGGATTTTGAAAGCGAATTCAGGGCCCTTCCAAGCTTAAGTGAAGGAGCCTTGGTGGCACAGTTGTTAAACATTCTGCTGCTAACTGAAAGGTTGACAGTTTAAACCCACCCAATGACTGCCCAGGAGTCCTGACAATCTGCTCTGTAAAGACTGAAGCTGAGGAAACTTCTGGGGACAGTTCTACTCTCACATAGGGTTGCTATGAGTTGGAAACAGCTGGATGACACATAACAACAATAAGAACTTGAGCCTACATGCAAGTTCATAGTTTTGAAATGGTGGTTAATTTCCAGCGGGGAATTTCAGAATCGGATAACCCACCTGTCATAGAAATAGCTAATGATTTTTGAACACTTGGCAAAGGCTCTGAATGCATTATCTCATTTAATACCACATAGGTCCATGAGGTGGTGGTGGTTGTTGTTAAGTGCCGTTGAGTCAGTTCCGACCCATAGCTACCCTGTATAGGGTTTCCCAAGAGCAGCTGGTGAGCTTAAACTGCCAACCTTGAAGTTCAAATGGCTTTGCAGTCTGGCGCATTAACCCATAGTGCTTTTTTGATATTCATTTTTTCTTTTTAATATCACAATAAAAAAACCACATATAACAGAAATGTTTCCGTTTAAGTTGTCAAGATAGGGCCTTGAGGAAATTGAGGCAGAGAGTAGTTAAATTAGCTTATTTCTTAGCTAGTAGTGGGTAGATATACTTTGATCCTCGAACCAAATGTGTGGTTGGGGCTGCCTCCATTACCTCCTGCAGCTTACCAGATCACCTTCTTGTGCCAGACACCTTTTGGCCCAGGGGCAGGTGAATATTTTATGCTTGAGTAAGAGCCTCAAGGCAGAATTCCAAGTTTGGTAGAGCTTGTAGTCAGAGGCGGGAACAAGTAGTTAATAACCCTGCTGTAAGTTAGCTAGCAAGCCTAAGTACTAAAATGGGTAAACTTTTGCCTTAGATGAAGCTCGTTGGACCACAAGGAATACTTTCCCATTGAGCCCAGCCTTGACAAAATAGGGAAATCTTTGGGTGGAGGAAAGAGAGGAGAAGCAAGAAAGTAGTACATGGAGATGTTCTCAGTCCTCCTACACATTCATGTCCTGGGAGAGTGAACTTTTGAGGGAAGTTGATCACACATGTAGTAAACTACAGAGGTCATCAGTGTGATGCTGGATGGAGATACTCCGGAGTCCTGGTGTGGCACTGTAGGATAAGCACTGGACTGGAAGGTCAGTTTGAACCATAAGGTAGGCAGTTCAAACTCACCAGCCACTCCTTGCAAACCCTGTACAGAGTCCGTATGAGTCAGAACTGACTGGATGACACTTAACAACAGCAACAGATAATTAGGGTAGAATTTGGTGTTGGAGAAGTGGGAGTGCTGCACTAACAAATACTAAAAACGTGGAAGTGTTTTTAGAATTGAGTAATGCGGTAGAGGCTGGAAGTTTTAAGATGCCCAATAGTAAAAGTCCTGGTGTGGTGCAGTAGGGTAATACTCTGGATTGCAAGGTCAGTTTGAACCTGGAGGTTGATGGTTCAAACTGTGTGTTCCATCTGGTGAGGCTCATATGTATAGTTGCCTTTTAAGTATTTGCAATGAATAAGTCATTGGTCTTGCAAAATTCTACCATGTGATCTGTAGACTTTTCCAACTACTATTCACCTACCAGTCTCCAGTAATTTTCAATCCTTCGCCCCTTTTTTGGGGGGGGGCACGGGTGGACATAGAAACACTCAGGAATATATCATAATTTAAACAACCAAAGAGCACATTCTGTAAGCTTGCCTCTTGGCCACCAGTACCCAGTCCCTCTCTTTCCATGAGCCCGGAGACCTCATTCCTCAGCTGCTCCCTCTCTCCATGTCCTCATCTTTGGTGTCGCTGCTTCTCTGGATAGGGTCCCACACCCCACTTATCAATCCTTTTTTGATCAATTTCAGATTGAAGAAGTTGGTAGAATGCTTTAATATCATCATCACTGTGTTTAATGGTTGGTGTGTAAATTTGAAAAATAGTGGTATGTATTCGTCTTCCTTGTAGGAGTATGGATATTATCCTATCACAGACAGCATTGTATTTCAAGATCTTGAAATATTCTTTTTGATGGTGAATGTGACACCATTCTTACTCAATTTGTCATTCCTGGCATAATAAATCATATGATTATCAGATTCAAAATGACCAATATCATGCATTTCAGCTCACTAGTTCCTGGGATATTGATCTTTATGTGTTCTATTTAATGTT